ACGGATTAAAAGAGAATGTAAGTTAGCTATGCTCTTGCTCTAAAACGTGTGATGGACTCCAACTAGGTAAAGGCCTGTATGTCAGTATTTTAGGGAGGCTACAAAAAGTAACTCAACTCTGTCCACTGCAGACTATGATGTGGTTTTACACGTGTTTATGCAGATGTCAGAGGCAGCTATACTGTAAGAGGTTGCTGACTTTATATTTCTCCACTCAGAGACTATTCCCTGCAGTCTGTTTTCTTGTGGTTTTTTTTTTTTTAGTGTAACCAGTAAATGCTATGACACAGACTGACTTTCTCATTTAAAGAGGAAGAGATGAAATAAGCAGGGAAATTAAGGTTCATGCAAGCATTAGATTGGGATTTAGAAAGCTTTCTAACCAGTGTGTTACTGCTGTTTCATCACGTTTAGCAAGTCTTGATTTTGCATGTTAGCGGCTAAAATAGCTATGATTTCACCACAGCAAAATCTGGTTTTCAGTTGTCTGTGAAAAGGGAGTGACTAGATTTTCCCCAAAAGCCCTTTACTGCAGTGTTAGAGATGGTTCTAATTTTCATGGCAGTGTCCAGCGTGTATGTATGCTGCCCGTGTCTGAGGTGCCATTTCAGCCCATGGCTGCAAAAGTGGCTCAGGCAGCTCCTGGGGAGCACTCGCCTTCGTTATCACTGACGGACGTCTTCAGCACAGCGCACGGCTGACATCGTTCCCACTGTGCAGAACAGGCACACTTGGTTTCTCCTCAGATATCTCCTCTGCTTTTCTGTAGATATTTTCCAAACAGTGCAACACCTAGCAAACATACACCGCCTTGCCTTTGGACAACACTGCTAAGTCTGTGTTTTACGCCAAAATTTACTTTCCTGTGTTCTGTGCAGACCTGTTCACAATTTGCAGACACCTTCTTCAGCTGTCAGTTTTGCTTCCTGTGAAGCTTCCTGAGCTTCCTGTGACTGTGTAGCGCTAGGATAAATTTTTCTCCAAAATCTTTAACTGATCTGGTTATGTTTTGCAGGCTTGAAAATCTTAACAGCTTTTTGAAAGTTTGCTTGAGTCTGTAAACAGTTGTTTAGATTTGTGACTGCATTTACAGTCTGGTTTTCAGCTAGCATTCTCTAAGCAATTTAAAACTGCATATTTCATTCAATAGCTTCAAATGAAATGTAAATGACTTAAAAATTTTTTTTTTTTTTTAATTCTGAAGTCTGATAGTTGTCAAAAAGAGTCCTTCTTTCAAGGATTTTTATAGATCTCAGATTTCTGAAGTGCTGTTGTACAACTAAGTTGTTCTTCATTTGTGTAGCAGTAGACTGATAAACAAATGTAGTGTCTTTCTCTCTGCAATACCAAAGAAAATTGTCACCTTCTTGTCTTTCTTTTCAGTGCTATTAACTGTTTTCACAGAGAGACACAACAATTTTGCTTCAACCTCTCCCAGTTTTTGCTGGAAGAATACTACCACCTCTGAAGAGCTTGAGCTTTTGTTTCCCACTCATTGGCATTTCTTGTATTTGTATAGATTTTAGACATACTCTTCTCTTCCCAATACCCTGTGCTGTTCTTTCGTGGCAATCAGTACAGAAAAGCGTTTGTGAGGAAGGGAACAAGGTACCTTTCTCCCACTGAGCTGCTCACACAACTGAACAGCACCGTTGTTCTTGCACAGCACATTGTTGCCCTTGAGATGTATTTCCTATTAAGTCTCTTAAAAGACATGTTTTCAGGCACTGTGCAAAGGGGCATCAGTGTTATCTGTACGAATGCTAAGCTTGCCTAGCTAGACACTGAGAGTGCTTAATGTAATTTCTATTCTGTCATATTTTGTATAAAATACTTGTTGTAAAGAGCAATAGCTAAGATGGCGCATGAAAATTTGGCAGTTTTTAATGTGTATATATAGTGTGGAAGGCCAAATAACAAAGCTAAGAGCTTCCACGCAGGCATGCCTAGCTCAGAGCTTATTGACTGTTAGCAGGCAGCAATACGTATTTCAAACAAGACAGTAACGTTAGGTGAAAGATTTGCCCAATAAATGAGGCCAGTATAAATTGCACTCACTGACAGTGCCAAACTGAATGCAAACAACAGTTATTTCAGCAAACAGCAAAACTTGACTCAAAACTCTTATGCATAACCTTAGTGTGGGAAAGGATGGTGGCTGTTGCTGCTCAGTCACTATGGCAGGCTCACAGAGAGTGAAAATGGACATTTTGTGTAGGTCATTTTGGCATGGAAAGGGGGAGACATGGAGATGCTGTTGCTGTTCTAGCCTCTACTCTTGCAGGAGCTTCACCGTTTACCCCAGGTCTCCCCAGCTCTCTCAAAGGGTCATGGAGGCAGGGGGAGAGTGGAAAGGAACAGTGTTGCAACTACTTAAAATCCCTAAAAAAGGCACCTTCAAATCCTCCTGTCCAAGAGAGAATCATTCACTTTCAGTAGTCATTAATACAGTCATTAAGATATCAACAACAAAGGACTTGGTGTCCTAATGTCCACCTAGCTTTCCAGGAAACTACTCAGCTTTCCAGAAAATAGTTTTGAACTAAACGGTAACAACTGTGTGCACTCCAGGGTCTTAGCCTCATCCTCTCTTCAAAGTAATTTGAGCACTAATATCTTTCAAATGGGAGCTGTGATTCATGAGTAGGGCTGTGCCCTGGGTTTGCTCTTCTGTCCCCGCTGCAGGGACCACTCAGCACCTCACGCAGCACATCGCAACGCACTGTTGTGAGGAAATCGGAAACTGGAGCTGGTTTACCTTAGCAGGCCAGACCATAAAATGCAGCCGTTCAACCTAAGCTTTCTCCTAAAGCTTAGCTGCTGCTAGGATGGGGATGGGACTGCTGAGCTTGGGAGCCAGGGAAAGGGAAGGTGTCTGTGCCTGAGAATCATTTCCCTGGAGAGCAGACGTGCAACATGGAAGTTTTCCAATTGTATTTTTATGAATCAGATGCTCAGTGTTGGTACTTTATTGAGAGAAACAGACTCTGTTTCCATGAGATTATAATCTATAGGACCGTAGCAGCCAGCGTAAAGTAGTGGGACATTGTGAGAAGATGATAGATAATTGCTGTTCGTGTCATTTGTGTCTAGTTACAGTACCTTCTCCTTCAGCAGCCCACTCTTCATGTGTCCTAACTTTAGTACACTCAGAACACAAAATTATGCAGTGACAGCCTGCTAATGGATGCTGCAGATACAGCTGTGACAGATGGACAGACCGTGGGTGAAAGGAGACATCAGCATTCGCTGATCTGACGCTAACATCTGGATGACCTTTAGCATTCAGTTGGTCTGTTTTCCTATGTGTATAAGGTTATTACCTACTTCTGCAAAGAGCTTTGAAGTCATTAGGTGTAAATTTTGATTTGACATCAACTTTTAATAATATTCTAATACTTGGACTAATTTTTAAAATGCATAGTTCTTCCTCTTCCTTCTCCACTATGGGGATTTTACAGTTTAACTATTACTACTTTCTCTCAAGTAGCACAATATGTTTATTCAATTTTAGAAGTTGGCCTTCTTGCATGTCTGTTTCCCAGAGGATAGCCTTCCTGTTTCACTCAAACTTACTTTGGTGGTACAGAAGGTTTATTTTGTTTCATTGCGTGACAGTTACTGGCTCATATTTCTTACAATATATTAATCACTACAGAAATGTCAAGGAATACAACTGTGGAAATTGCTGTTGTGTTATCAGGCAGTAGCTCTTCTTTCTTTAAAGCAGTGCTGTACCTGGTAGGGATATGCTCAAAGTCTAGTTTTGGTGTAGGTACAGATGAAATTTTATTTTTTGGTGGGTAGGATGACTCCTATGTAGAATCTAAAATGTTTTTATTAAAATAACTTTTTTTTTCTCTCTCTTTACACCCCGTGAGTTTTCCATCCACTCCATAAACCAGGAAAGTATAAAAAGAACATCAGGGTAGGGAGGATATATTTCATATGCAAATATTATGAAGTAGTAGCTTTCTTCCAAATTGGGTTTTGTATCTTGCAAAAGAGGAGTTGCTTAGTCGCATGGTACAAGCCAGAGATCTGGAATGTGGCTGTTAAATTCCAGCATTTCACAGGATTACTTTACTTTGTCTAAATCCTTTTTTGGAAATTGAAAGAACTCCCACAGATTTATATTATTTTATGTCAAATTTCACATGCTAGCTTTCATTCCATTCCTTGCAAAGGAAATAAGCAACCTCTGCCCCCACTGAAAAAGCGTCAGACCCAGGGATCTTTCCACAATAAGGGAAATTATTTTTCTTTCACACTTCCTTTTCAAATACATCATTATTCAGTACCTTGAGTACTCAAGTGAAGACTTGAATAGCTTGAAGCTAGATCCATGCTTGGATAAGGTAAATACTAGAACTGCAAATATGATGTCGTTAGCAGAAGAAAAACAACAACTGTCATTCTTCATCTTTGTGCAGCTTTTCTTCAGGGAAAGTAAATGAATTTTCCAATTCTGGTTTTCCCCTAAACATGGTGGGGTTTGTACGGGTGTGCTCTTCCCCATAGCTGTTAACAGACTTCACTATTACTCCTTTATAAGCATGACTCACTGATTTTTCTGTCATGATAGTTCACGCTGTCTTAGTGTCGCTTAACACTTGTCATACTTACGTAAGTCTTTTTTTACAACTGGAAGCAGGGATAGAAAACCCTGTCCTCTTATTTACTAAAAAAACCATACTCTTCCTTCCCTTATACATGCAACTTCCTCTCTTGGAGTGAATTGCTGGTGGATTGCGATTTAGATGCACGCTAAACAGAACACTGCCTTGCCCAGCATATTAGTCATAGGCAGTGTGCTTCAACCCTTCTGAGAAGCCCCAGCCAGGAAGGAGGAAAAGGTTAAAATCAAAATTCCGCCACTTATTTCTGAACCTTGGCTGCTTCCACCGGCAGTACTTGCGGATCTTCTGGGTCTTAATGCAATTCTCCCGCTCCTTTAGCCAATGTAAAATATCTGTTTCATTGCTCTTCTTCTTCCAAAGACCCATAGTGAAGCAAATGCTCAAGGCTGTCTTGGATGCACGTGGGCAGGTGTGAGTGACATGGAAGCCCCAGCAGACCCACTAGAAGTAAGTGACTGTTTTGTCTGTCCTCTGACGAGCTGTCTGGTTAACAGGAATGGCTTGAACTGGTGCATGTATCAGGCATGTCACTTTGTAGATTGACAATTATGGGCTCATTTTTGTGTTCCAGTAGATTTGTCTGAATGATTTATGCTGTTTAAGAGTAGAAGGAAATGTTACAAATGTTTTTGGATATGACATTCTTAGAAAGAAAACCTTCACTAGTGGGGTGGTTTTTTTCCCTCCTAAAAGTATCTGGTCATTTTTAATTTGTTGTTATACAAAGGGTAGAAAGTGGCTCATTTTAGTGACCCAACAACTTCTGTGAGCAGTATTCAGGCCAGTTGGTGCCAAGTGTACATATAGCTGTTAGATTTCTAAGTTGTCCTGTTCACTTTAATAGGACTCTTAGATATGCACTTAAATACATTCCTAAGGCCCAGATTCTGAAAACAATTCAACACATGAATAACTCCATTGACTGCCAGGTAATTGGTTCAGATACTTAGAATCACAGACTCATTAAGGTTATAAAAGACCTTTAAGACCATCAAGTCCAACCGTCAACCCAACACCACCATGTCCACTAAACCATGTCCTGACATGTCATGTCTACACATCTTTTGAACACCTCCAGTGATGGTGGCTCCACCACCTCCCTGCGCAGCCTGTTCCAATGTTTGACCAGTGTTTTGTGGCATAGAAGTCAAGTGCTCCACATTAGAGCTCAGCAGGACTGGCCATGGAGCAAATATGTGGTCAGGGTTTTTGCCTGTGAAAAGACACAACAAAACTATTCTTTGATCTTTTTCATTGGTATTTGGCATTCAGTTCTCTAGCTGAAGAAAATAAATTTATTTCAGGAGATGTAAGACTTCAGAAATGCTCACACATTTATCCTAGTTTCTTATATATTGGTTAAGAATTTAGGGAGGAAAAAAAAATCCCTGACCAGATATCTGACCTTAGTATGTTTTATTTTTATGAGCATGTATCTTTTTTCCAGTACAGTTCTCTTGATATAAATCTATTTATATCCATATATATAATAGATCATATATTTGTTTTCATGACAATCAATAGAAATGTCTTAAAAATTATGATATAGGACATTGGCATTTTAAAAATGAGGGCTTAGCTGCTGTTGTTCAGCATGGGCAAAGCTCCACACTTTAAAAAATGGAAAAAATGCAAACTGATGCCGTGATTTCTCCAAATGACCTATTTGTTTTCTGTATTGCTTGTTTTGAACCTATTGTGCTAAAGTTTATTGCCTTGGGCCTGCAAGCACTTACGAGGGACAATACTACTAATTATTCTAGTTCTTCTAAATGAAGGGAATTACTTACGCCCACTTCAACTTATGCTCAACTTTTGTGGCTTGTACTACTGGTTTGTATTACCGTTTGTAAGAAAATTAAAATCCTATTTTGTCTTCTATGTCTCAGATGGTACAAATAGACATAATTTTATTTCAGTGTCCATTTGCATAATGCTTCAATTAAATCACAAACTAAGCAGGGTTAAAGCAGATACACACTTCAGAAATCTGCTGTCGGCAGGTGTAAAGGTACTGAAATACAAATGCAATGTAAGAAAACGATGCTGTTTCAGTTTCTTTATATGCACACAACAGGGTGGATGGGAGCTTTATGTGATAAACTTGACTGGAAGAGAGGGTGCCGAAAGCATTGATTTTTTTGAACATTTATTTTCTCCAGCCAAGGCACATACTACTGACCAAAAACAAGACTGTATCAGCCAATTCTCTGCAACAACAGATCCTCTCACTGGAAAGACAGAGACGAGAGGTACTCTTAAGTTTACCATTAACCTTTACATATATAACCTCTAAGACAGACATGACAGTATCAGTAATATGCCTGGGGCAGGAAATCACTGAATGTGTTATAACTGTTACTTACACTGTGTTTATGCTGCATTTCGTTTTGCCCACCAGTCCAGCAAGACCTATGTTTTTCCTGTGGGAATCATCCTGCGCTCTTGTGAGACAGTTTCTGTGTGGAGATTTTCTGCTTTGCATTTCTTCACAGCCTGAAGTGTACAAGCACTTAAAATTATGTTTAAACTAGTTCCTATAGTCCTACTTCTCTGTACCAAGCTAGGCAGAGTTATGTTTGGAGGACTGTTCCTACAGACTAATAATGACTTACTGTAGTGCGGCTGTGAATCTAGAAGAGCAGAGATTTCTACGGTACAAAGGGCAAATTTTCCTAATGATCACTATTGTAAAGGCCAAGGAACCACTGTGAGTAGTAGCCAGCGGTTTCTTGGTCACAGGTAGCAGCAAACTGGAAGCCATTCTTTTGCTGAGCATCCTAAAGAGGGACCTTATATCCTACAGAGCAAAATGCTTCTGAGGGACCTATTTGACTTTCTCCAATAAAAATGCATGCATGCTGACTTCACTCCTACCACTTACAGGCGTGGTGTTAGCTGACCTTCCCATCTTGCATGCATACACTTGCTCGGTTTAGTCGTACTGAGAAAGGCAAGCAGAGTTTGCACCCAGTAGTAATTGCAATCAATAGGAGTCTTCAGTTCACTTGTTTTAAGTCAGAGACCTTCTAATTGGAAATACATGTTTATGGACCTTAAGGCAAACTAAGAAGTAAGTCCTTGGCCATTTAGGAGTTGCAGCGTGGTATTTGTACAGCCTTGCAAATGATTCACCTGTAGCTTATTGTGTATTTGCATGTTTCCTGAATGTTACTTCCTGAAAGTTCATGTACTTTAACTGAAATACCAAAGCACTGGCAGATGGGCCGTAAAGCTTGCCAAACCTTAAACTTACTTTTTCTGAAATGAACTGGCCAGATAATGAGGAGGTCGTGAACACTCATAGCTGGAGGATTAGAATGCCAGTCTTTTTATTTATTGACAATGTTAAAATAAGGGTTATTTACTGTGACTTCCTGATAATTACAGCTTCTGGAGGTGAATAAGCAATGGGATCATCAATTTAGAAGTATGAAACAGCTTTATGAAAAACAGGTAACAATGTTGACTATTTCTATTGGAATATGTGAGCCACCTGCTGATAGTGAAGTCTGTGCTTAAATACCAACCAACCATACCTATAGCAAATATCTTCGGGGGAAAATGCATCAGGTTTACTTTGTCTTTAGCTCGAAAATTAAGAAAGCTTCATCACATAAAAATGAAGCTAATGTGTATACAATCTTCAGTAAAACAAAATAGCCAGAGAAGCAGGGCACCTCTAAAATAGTAGGGACCAGGGTGGACATGACAGCAGCCATTTTCATGCCCTCCACAAGGTAAGAAAAATTGGTCATACTTCAGAGCACAGTTAAGAGAAAATTAGCCTGCGGTGCCTGGTGTGCCCCACCACTGATCTGTATCATCACATGTCTGTTTGTTCTTGTCTCATCTCTTGTGGCTGACTTGTGAAGCCTGGAAGGTCAGTGGGGCTCCCTGTAATGGAGGAGCTCTCAGATAAATCCTCCATGAATGCTGCCTTCTATAAGCAGAGAGACCTTTTTCCTTCTGAGAAACTGCTCTGTACAAAAGCCCTTCCTTTAAAAAAATAAATTGTAAATAAATACATTTTATTTCCTTTTTTTTTTTTGTCAAGATCCCATTGGCATAGCTGTCATTCCTTGCTTGCGGCTCTGTGGCATCTTTGCTGCAGACATTATAATCAGCTGCCTAGTGAAGCTGGCTGCTTACAATTTTGCCTGGTATTCCAAAATCCAAGTTAGTTCGTTAACTGACACTTCTCATCTCCTGTTTCCCTCTGTGAAAGGAAAGTTTGCAGACTTGCCTCGTGCTTATCAGGAAAATTTTCTCTAATGTTTTCCAGTAAGCTTTACTGAGATTTGGGTCATTTCTTTGACTATTTATTTTTGATTTGGGGTGGGGGTTTCCCCCCCAAAGAGAAGAGGAATTTAAATGGCTCTTTAATATTTGACCGTTTTATGCCTCTGGCTAGATCATTTGGATGTGCACCACTGCAGAGGGTGTCCAAACTGCAAAAGGGGGGGAAAAAAAAGAACATTAAAATGGAAAATTCATTTGGAGAGACAGACCCATGGTAGCTGTCCTTTGGCAGCAAAACAGTGCGAGATCCAGCTGGGTTAGCACCAACAGAGAATTTGCCCAGGATCATTAAGAGTCTCCACTGCAGAGAGAGCAGCAGAGCTTGGAGGTGGGATGGGGAAAGTGTGTGTCTGGGGACTTTACACGCAACCAGGTCCACTCCTTTACACTGATCTGCTGAGAGCTGGAAGGATTTGAAGGCACCTTCGAGGTGCTGTGCCTTTCAGGATCCCCAGTCAGCCCACCATGGTCTGTCACTTGCTTTTCAGCTGGCAGAAATGAAAGCAAAACTGGATGCGTCAGAGATGAGACTCGGTGAGCTGGAGGAAGAGAGACATCGACAGCATCCAGAAGAGAGGTTGCAAGCCCTGGGCAGAGAGAGGCCATTGCAGGAAACGGTAGGAGGGTACACTCTGTTACCCTGTTTGTGCTCAGTGTTGAACGCTGTCTTGCCTTTCTTCTTTCTCTTCTTGCGAGTGGCAAGGTGTGGCTCTGTCGTACAGCCATGAGATGAGATTGTGGTGTTGAATGCTCTTCAATATTGTACCCAAGGCAGTGGCTGATCTTCTGTCTGATCAGAGAATTATATATATAGACAGAGTAATTTCAATCGAAATTGTCAGAGAGCACAGCATTAGTGTGTGTGAGGGAGTAAAGAGCAGATTTATATGAATACTGCAGAGATTTCCTTCCTTACTGCTCAGTTTCGGGTGAACTTCTTTGTGAATGAAAATGCTACGGTGATTTCAAATGGAATAGGAACATCATTGCACATGTTACATGAAGTGCTTGGCAATAAATACTTGAAGGAATGAATTTGGCTCCAGACACCCACATATTGGTATTGACAATATAGGCTTTTGTACGTCTGCTAGCTGTTTCAGCTCCCCATAAATATTAGCGATGTAGTCAGTGCAGTTAGAGCTGAAAGTGCCTGGGCTGATCAGCTGCTCTAGAGCAGTGTTCACCTCACCCTGAGAGTGGTTGGGCACCTCTCTCAGGACTCCGTAGGCACTGGCTTTTGTGTAGGCATTCACATCTAAAGTTAGATCCTGAAGTTGAATTCCCACCACAGTAAAACCACCAACCTGAGTAATCGGCATATATATGCCCAACGTATACACAAAACTACGTGCCCCGTTTTACAAGCACCACAGAATAGTGCTTCCTATTCTCATTCTGCTTCATGGTATCACACGCTTCATAACCTCTTGTAAGAGTTTCTGGATTGTGCTCTGATGGATGAAGTTGGGCTTCTCTATTTGCTTGATAACATGTAACAAACCTGAAAACAAGCAGCAATTGCATCGCTTCCAGGCGCAGATAAGATGTAAGTTAGCTGCTGCAGGAAAAGAAATGCAAAGCCCTTAGCTTTTATCTTCATAAGCAGAACGTTCATCTTGCTTGCTTATCAGTTACGGTATGGTCTTACCTAAGGACGTGCTTGATTTCTGATGTACCCATAGACAGGAATCAAAGACAAATCTAGTCACTGGAGAGTCTAGGTGTCATGGTACCCAAGATTCATCACTGAATAAAGAGCAGTAAGACATAAGAAATCAGATGGTTCAAAAACCTGAACAAACTGGCAATCTTTAGTTATAAATGGCCATGTTCCTGGAGGGTGTTAGCCTCTGAGAAGGAGAATGTGTGCTAGGTGCTAGGAAAAGAGGATGGCAAAGGTGAAGAGAAAGCATAGCTAAAAGCCTGTATGGATTTTAGTGTTTTGTTTTGTGGGTTTTTTTAGTTATCTTAAAACATATATGTGCATGCCAGCTTGAGCTAGCTCCTGGGTGAGTTCCTATACTTAATGCAGAGATAGCCCGCTAATCTTGCCCAGTTTTTGGAGAAAATTAAATCTTCCAACTAACTTAGAACAGAGGAAGATAAAGCTACCTCACGTGTAAGCAACAGTTTCTCAAGGGTGTTTTTCAGTGGTTCAGCACATGGTGATGCACTTCGCATGAGCCCAAACTGTAAATGCTTGGTAGCTGGCTGCACAGAGATACGCCTTTTGCACAGGAAAAAAAACATTCACATGGTGTCCTGTGCATGTGAGTGTTGGATCTCATTTTTAAAATCACGTAAAGCAGATGCAGAAGAATACTTGAAATACTGTCTTTTTTTGTAGAACAGGCGATTCTGTCTCATGTCTAAACAACTTTGGTCTAAGACAGTCTGGAGAAAGTGGGCTAGTGAGGAAAGCGTTACCCTGCGAGAGAAGCGTACACAATGCCATTTGCTTCAGGGTCTGATTTGGATCTTGGCTCTCTTCACTGTAAATTGACAATAGCCACGCTGAAAGCAATAGGAGAAGAGGGTCAAACTTAAAATTTGGCAAATCTGTCCTAATAATTCCTATAATACCATCTTGAAAGACTGTTGCAAATAGGGACATCTTCCTGGTAGTTTGCTGGGGTGGCAACAGTGTAGGCACATGCACTAGGAAGGGTCAAGCTCAAGTCAACAACAACTGTGATGGGGTCAAAAAAGTGGATTTTTAAGCAGTGTTTGGTAGCTTGGTAATTCTTGAGCAGGCTGAGACCTGCCTCAGTCTCTTGTGTAGTGGAAAAAGCCCTCAGACTATATGGTACTGAGATCTGGTTTTGTCTTTAATGTTGTATGACACTGGGAATGGCTGGGACTCCACCAGTGTTTAGCCCTGGCCTTATGCTATGTGTACATAAGAGTAATGCAGGTTTGGGATAATCATCTGTACAGTACTGATCTGCTTGGCCTGACAACTTTCTCATGCCTTTGTGCAACTGCAGACTGTAGAGAGCAGGCGTCTAGTCTGGTATGTTGTCTCTGTCTCATCATATGGTGAGTGGTCAAAACAATTTCAAGACTTTATCATATCTGGGTTTTACTAACCACCCGCTTTCCTGTTGCCTCCCTTCCCAGCTGTGTTTGGGACAACAAAAATACAGCACATCTGACAGACAGCAGATACTCTGAAAATTGTTCTTGAAAAATGGTTCCATCTGCCTTTCAGCAGCATCTCTCTGTATTTTTGCATCCCAGAAAGAATCAAAGGGCCTTAGTGAAGCTCTCCATGAAATGAAGGAAGAGAACAAGCTCCTGAAGCAGAAGAATGCCTCAATGATCAGGAAAAAAGAACACTACGAGTGTGAAATAAGTCGTCTCAATAAGGTATGAAAAAGAGTGAGTCACGGACCAGGACCTCTTCCTTTAATTCTAGGGTCTCTGTTGTTAAGCAATGACACTACCAGATGCCCATCTTTTCAATCCTGGGTGAACAACCTGTTTGTGGTGGCAAACTCATGATCACCATTCTGGAGCTGGGGAAACAAGCAAGAACTTACTTTAGCTAATACCTGTGCATACTGTTCTTGGTAGGTAGCAGGGTTGCATTGTAAAGAGGAAAGTTAAGAGAATCTTTGGCTTCTCCTGTGAAACCTCTCTAAGTGCCATATATAAGCTCTTTCTACATTCTCCCTCCTTAGAACAAAAGGGAAATGGCACAAAGACGCTTTCATATGCATCCTGTGAAACATTGTGGTTAAAAAAAGCCTCAGTTTAAAAACTGTTGTTTTACATATATTCTGTGTTGGAGAATAATGGCTTCTCGTCACAAGACATGCTCCTGTCTTTTTATATACATACATGTATATATTTTCATACATACAAGTATTATGTGTGTATATGTCTCATTGAGGAAATTGCCATAAAATAGCTATATGGGATTTATTTTTTTTTAACTGAGGGGAAAGTAATAAATGTAACTTTGTTTAATCAAAAGATCACATAAAGCAATGGGTGTTTTCTAACAATTTTGTATTTCATGGTGGACCACAAACACTTCCTGAGGAAATGCACTGCAGTAACCATTGCTGTGTAACTTTAAGTGATACACAAGCTAAAGGGCCTTGATGTGCAAACGTCAAGGCAAAAAAGTAATGTTGCCACATTAAAAAACCTGACAGAACGGATGATCTCTAGCTCTTTTTGAAATGCATTGACAGCACTTGCTCAAAGCCTTAATGTAACTTTCATTCAAAGTCTTGTTTGGAAAACAACTTATTTCAATGTTTTATTTTGCTGTCTTATCTTACAGTGTGGTTGGAATTAAGATAGATGGGCAAATGGACCATTCTTTTAAAGGAAACATCAATTTCATGTAACACACTTTCCCATAAGTAATTTACTGATTTTCTGTGTATTTGCATCCTTCAAACCTCATGTCATGAATGCATGTAAGACAGGAAGGGACCCTCTGTGCCCTTTTAAGTCTAGTCCCCTGCCTTTGCAGGTTCAGTGACTTGAAGTTCTTACAAATTCTCTGAAATCAAGCAACATTTTCCTTAAAAATACTTAATCTCCTTCTACTGTGCTTCTGTTGGAAGGCTGTTCTGGAACTGTAACGCTTCTTTCATTAAATGCTTTAGTCTGTTTCAATTGGGCTGAATTTATTCTGGCCAGATGATATTCATTTGTTCTTCTGGTAGTAGTGTTGAACAGATCTGCTTCACTCCTTGTGTGAAGCAGATCTGTCCTCTCTGTGAAGCAGAAATGTTCTCTAGTGGAAATACGATTGCTC